CGGGACCCCCCTGTCCCCATGGGGAGGGCGGGAGGCGCGGGGCGAGACCCAGGCCGGGGGGTAACGTGGCCGTCCCACCGCCCAGAGGAGCCGGTCCTGCTGGGGGAGCTGAAGCCGGGCCGTCCCCAGCGCTACGACTGGAAATCCAGCTGCGAGACCTGGAGCGTGGCCTTCTCGCCCGATGGCGCCTGGTTCGCCTGGTCGCAGGGACACTGCGTGGTCAAGCTGATCCCCTGGCCCCTGGAGGAGGCCGAGCTGTGAGCGTGGGGGGTGGCTGGATGGCGAGGGGCTGCACGACGCCAGGGTGGGGGATCTGGGGGGATCCAGCCCACCCCGGGGGTAACCGTGCATCCCCTCCTTCCTCCCAGCGGCTGCAAAACCTCGGAGCGCAAGAGCCGCGGCAGCAAAGCGGAGGCGAGGAGCCGAGGGGTGGCCAAGGAGAAGACGCTGGAGTGTGGCCAGATCGTGTGGGGCTTGGCCTTCAGCGCCTGGCCAGCAGCAGAGGCAGGGGAGACGGACCCCACCTGTGCCGTGGGTCTTCCCTGCCTGATCCTGGCCACCGGGCTCAACAACGGGCAGATCAAGGTCTGGGAGGTGCAGACAGGTGAGCGGGAGCAGTCATGGCTTCAGGCTGTTGTCTCTCCCCATTGTTCCCCCTCGGAAGGAGATGCCGTCTCCGTCATTCCCCGAATACTTCCCCAGGGTGAGCGGGAGCCCCTGCCTGGCCCCTCCGCGTGAGGGGCACTGCCTCGTTCCCCGTGGAGGGATGGCGCTGAGCATGGCTCCTCTCCACAGGACACCTCCTCTTCAGCCTCTTGGGGCACCAGGATGTCGTCAGAGACCTGAGCTTTGCTCCCAACGGAAGCCTCATCCTTGTGTCAGCCTCGCGAGACAAGACCTTGCGTGTCTGGGACCTGAGCAGAGATGGTAGGAGGGTGCAGGGATGCCCCTGGTGCTAGGTCACCCCCGGCTGAGGCAGGGCACTGCTGTGGGAAATGGGAGAAACCCACCTCAGTAGGGCAGATGGTGGGAGAGGATCTTTGGGGACAGTACTCAAGGCAGGAGGGGAGAGTCCTGTCACACGGAGCAGAGCTGCCCTCTTCCAGGTGGGGCCTAGGAGGTGCAGGAGGGGGTTGCAAGTAAACAGAGCTTGGGATCTGCCCAGGGGAACCGCCCAGCCCCCCATGCATCCCCTCTGGGGAAAGGGAGGGGACAGCAGGGGCAGCCCGGCGCTGCCTCTTGTGCTCCCCTCTCATGACTTGCCTCTCTGCTGTCCCCAGGGCGGCAGGTCCAGGTGCTGTCGGGCCACGTGCAGTGGGTGTACTGCTGCTCCATCTCCCCAGACTGCAGCATGCTCTGCTCCGCTGCTGGAGAGAAGTCGGTGAGTCCTGCAGGGTGGGAGCTATCCTGCGTCATGCTGAATCCAGCTCTCCCCTCGGCCCTCCGTGTCCCCCACCATGTGAGAAGCCCTGCTGTGGGCCAGGCCAGAGCCACCCTCGCTCCTCAGCTGTTCTGGTTCTGTGTGGAGGAGCTGGGACCAGAGCCCATGTGCCTTAAACCCCAAGGGGGGAGATGCTTCTCCTCTGTTCCCACCCCAGGGATGCTCCCAGCCTCAGCCCCTGCCCGTGTCCCGCAGGCACTGCTGTGGAGCATGCGGTCCTACACCCTCATCCGGAGGCTGGAGGGGCACCAGAGCAGCGTGGTGTCGTGCGACTTCTCGCCAGATTCGGCGCTCCTTGTCACCGCTTCCTACGACGCCTGCGTCATCATGTGGGACCCCTACACCGGGGAGCAGTTGAGGACGCTACGGTATGAGAGCTGGGGGGCCAGTGAGGGACTGGAAGGGGGACAGAGCAATGCCGTGGGGGTTTGTTGGGGCTGAGCGTGGCCTTCCCTTCTAGCTGGGCACAGCCAGCACCTCTCCCCCATCTCCAGTGGCTGAAGGGGGGCTCTGACTTGCCAGATTTGGCCCCTCTGCCAGCCCCAGCAGCTGAAGGGGGGCCCTGACTTGCCAGGTTTGGCCCCTCTGCCAGCCCCACCAGCTGAAGGGGCGCTCTGACTGGCCGGGTTTGGCCCCTCTGCCAGCCCTGGAGCACTGGGGGAAGGGGCTCATGGCAGCCTGGGGTTGACGCTGGGCTTGTTCTCCCCACCCGCAGCCATGTCCCCTTGCACTCGGCGGTGGACTACAGCAGCGAAGTCCACACGAGCTCCCTGCGCTCTGTCTGCTTCTCTCCTGAGGGCCTCTACCTGGCCACGGTGGCAGACGACAGGTGAGTGAACCCCCTTGGGGACCTCCAGCGGGAAGAGGGTCCCAGGAGGACACCACCAAAACAAACCGGGAGCTCAGGACGTGCCAGTGGGGAGCAGACCTTGCATGCTGGGTCCCCACGTAACGCCCGGCGTAAGGGGAAAGGGCAGGCTGCCTGGGACACCGCGGCTTGGCTGTGGCAAGGGGTAGCAAGGTTAGGGCCCTGTTGCCCCTCTGAGCGATGAGTCGGGGCCTGTGTCCTGCGCGCTGCGCCGCCCTCGCTGTGCCCCTCAGCACGGTCACTGGCTCTGTCTGCATCCAGCTCAGCTCTACAGGGGACAGTGCCTCCCGCCTTGCTGCCGTGTTGTGACACTCCTGGGATGCTCTAAGCCCATGGGAAGAAAATCCTACTCCAGAGTTTGCATGCATTCAGGTGAACCCAGAGGCTTTATTTTAGCTGCAGGCACTGCGTGGATGGGGGCCTGGCATCGTGTCCCCTCCCTTTCTCCTTAGGCTCCTGAGGATCTGGGCGTTGGAACTGCGGTCTCCGATTGCCTTTGCTCCCATGACCAACGGCCTGTGCTGCATGTACTTCCCACACGGTGGTTTCATTGCCACAGGGTGCGTACGTGGGAGAAGAGAGTGGAGAAACACGTGGCTGCACCCTCCTCCTGCAGCTCTGGGTTTTACTCAGCAAATTTTGGGTTTCCCTGGGGGTGCAGACTGGTTTCCTGGGCTGGGGAATGCGTGGTTGCTGCAAACTAGGGATATTTGGGGGTAATTTGAGTTTTCTTGTGTCACTCTGCCCTGCGCTCACAGCTTGTTTGGGTCCCATTGCAGGACCAGAGATGGCCACGTCCAATTCTGGACTGCTCCAAGGGTCCTCTCATCGCTAAAGCACTTGTGTCGCAAAGCTCTGCGCACCTTCCTGACGACATATCAGGTCCTTGCGCTCCCCATTCCCAGGAAGCTGAAGGAATTCCTCACTTACCGGACATTTTAAGGCAGGACGGAAAGCAGAGGCACAGAGCCAGGAGCCCTCTGCCCAGCGGTGGGGCCCGGCCTGGCTCAGAGGAGGCACCGCCGCAGCGACTTCTCGCTGATTCGTGAGCCGTGGGGCAGGAGGATTGCTACCCCCCCTTGTTTTGGGGCTGTGTCTGTGAATGTGGAGGGATTTTTTTGGTATAATAATACTAGAACCCAGCAAAAATGCATGCAGAGGGCAAGGGGTACAAGCTGCAGTGGCCCCGCAGGGGACACGGGTGTCCCTGTCCCCTTGCTGTCTGCAAGTTTTGGGTCAAGGTGCTTTTGCTTCCAAGTGCAATGTTGTGGGTTGAAGGTTAGCAGCCGCAGTCTGAGCAGAGCTTTTTGTCAGTCGTACAAACACGGGGCTACAACCCTTCCTGACAAAGCCAACCCTCGCTGGGCCTGGCTCGTACTGGAGCTTAGATCCTGGAGGAGTGTGGGCTCTGCCCCTCTCCTGGTCTGGGCATGAGCTGGACAAAGCCAAGCAGATCTCTGGCGGACTAGACAACAGCAGTGACAGAATAAAAAATTATTCCTCGTGTCTTTCCTCTTGGCTTGTAGAGGTGACCTGGGGATACGAGGCAGGGCAGGCTGCAGCGGGCTGGCCCCAGGGCCTCCAGCCCTTCGGCTGCGGCTGTCGGGGTGGCAGCGAGCACTCGCTGGGTTCTGAAGTGCAGCAGACCAGTAAGTTGTTCGGTGGTGGGTGCTGGGGAGGATCAGTCCACCATGGTGGGACACAGGGCTTCACACAGCTCCGTTGCTTACTCTCCCTGCTGGAGCTCGGCACTCTGGCAGCCCAGTGTCTGGACACAGAGAGTGAAGCAGTCTTGTCTGTCTCTCTCCAGCTTAGCCGGTGTCTGGGGTGACAGCACGTGGTTGAGGCCCTGCGTGCTAGAGGGCTCGGTCAGTGCACGAGCCTGAGGCTGAGACCCCAGCTGATGAAAAAGACAGGGAATGTCTCCCCGGAAGTGCTCCCCAGGATGTTTTCCCTTGTGAGCAGCTGAACCCAGAAAGCTGTCGTTTCCCTAATGGGTAGAGGCATCACCCCCAACTGTGTCCCCTCTCGTAAGAGGGGCACGGCCCTGCAGGGAACCGCGCTTGCTCTGCATGGCTGCCCTGCTCAGCTGCATGAGCCACAGTTGTACTCCTCAGCGCATGAGCACCCGGGGCAGCTCTGCCTGGCAAGGGAGGTTTTGCAGGCAGGTGACAGCAGCGGGACATCAGCCCGCATCGGTGTGATGCCTTTGCAATCGGACAGGGGCAGGGGGTGAGGCTCGACCAGCTCCCTTCGGCCCTTGCTGTACAGGAGGGAAGAAAAAGTGTGACCTGGTGGGCTTTAGAGGCATCTGTATTTCCTGGTGACGCTTGGAAACAACGCTGTCCGACTCTCACGCCCTGGCTGCGGGATCAGGGCTTGCAACAAGGAAAGGGAAAGCCACAGGGCGCAGCTCTGGGCGCGGGGCCGGCAATCCCTTCCAGCTCCTGCGAGATCCGGCTTTGCAAGCAAGGATCCACCCAGCAGGACTCAGGCTTCGGCCACGATCAGGTCCCTGGTGACTTGGAAAGCCGCAATGAGGGAGCTCAGCTGAATCTTTTCACTGGTCCCAGCAGCCAGCCGGTACCTGGAGCAGGGGGCAAGGCCAGGTTCGGGTGCTTACACCAGTGTCCGCGTCCTGACAAAGCGGCAGCCCTGGCCAGGACGGACCAAGCGAAGCGCAGCACTGGCGGGTTTATGCGGCAGGTGCGGATGCATAGGGGCTGTGGGCATCTGCTAGCGGTGCCCACCGGCTGCCAGGACTTGGCACAGCACGGTAGCTGTGACCCCTGTGGGGCAGGGGTGCTGGCAAAACCCCCCGTTGGGGGGGTTTGGGGCCAGG